AAGATCACAATAATCCTTTTTACATTAAAAAGTAATGAGCTCCATCTCATTTGCAGATTCTTAAAAGCCCAGAATCCTGTGGTCACTTTGTAATACCAATGCACATCTCATAAATAGTAAATGAAAACAGAGCTTTCTTACCTTCACACAGAGGCAGGACTGAAAGCTGTGTGGTCCCACAGGGAAATGTATTTCTTCCAGGAAGCTTTCATTTCAAGACTTCTGAAAAACCTGCTCGTATGAGCTTGTTTGCAGGAAGGGAGAGAATTAAACTGGACATCTCAAGTGCTTCACTACTCCTGTCTTGTTAATTCTCTCTAAAAATGCAATCCCTTCTTATAATGGGGGAGCGCCAGAGTTCCTGGTAAAACCCAAATCAGTCATTTTTATGGGAAACTCTCACAAATTCCTGTTTCACCAAAGAGCAAATTTGGGAAGCATCAACAGTTGAGCACAATATAACAAGTGACTGAGATGTGTGCCTAAAGGCAGCTGCAACCAGAGAAATGAGAACTGTAGCACAAAGCTTTGCCAAAAAAAAGTAGTCTTCTCTGTTTCTCCCCTTTCTTTCTAATACACTTGTTCATCTTTTGTAATAAAACCTCCACAGAACACAAAGTCCTCATTACGGGTGTGCGTGTTCTGCCAAAATTTTGGTCCAAGGATGAGGTTACTGCAATAATGTACTCAAGACACCAAGAATAAATCCATTTGATTTAAAAACAAACGCACAACTCTGAAGAAAGGCTTTTAGTGTTTGATAGATATGAAAGCAATTAGATGTTATGGGAGCAGGCTGTACAGAAGCTGCCCTTAGAGCTGCCCTGGTGTCCCTCAGAGGACAGCCACAATGCTCTGTTAAACTCAATGCGATGCTAAAAAAATCCACAGGAATTATTTAATTTCGAGCCTTTTCCCTTACATTTTGCTATCCCATCAGATGTCAGTGGGGCTTGTGTCCAAGAGCAAACAGCTCCCCAGGAACACATCAGGGCTCTCAGGTGGATTTTCAAAGCAAAAATACCTTTTTATTGGTACTAGATCTTGTTAAGCACACTCATGCCCATGTACATCTCTCCAAACACTTTGGCTACCTATGCACCTTGAACCTTCTCTCTGAAATCCTCGAATTTCATTGCTTTTCCCTCAGCCACCAGAGCTCTGGTTCTGACGGCGTGACAGGGAACATCTCATCCCCATCCCTATGCACACACAGCATCATAAGGCCCAGTACAAATTCAGTGCCCAAGAGCCAGCAGCCTCTGCTCCCTTAAATAAGTAGAACTCACAAGGTTACAACTTGCTAGAGCTGGCCTCATGAGTGGGACAGCATCCTGCTGGAGCAGCAGCTGACTGCACAGAACACTCATTTATTTAGTGAAATAGGTGGAAGACTGCTGCCCGGTTAGGCACAGAGCCCCTTCCTCGGGCAGCTGTTTCTCCAGATGGGTAAGAGCACCCCAAGGACCACTCGTGTTTTAAGTCATTCTACCTAAAAGAACCCATAAATTTGTCGTTGAAATCTTACACTGACACTGCCTCCACGCTCCCTATTTTCTATTCCCCCAGCCAGAAGACTGCTGTGCTCTAACCTAATAGACACGTAAGCTACCTACCAAAAACCCTTAAGAATTCCCCCTCCCCAAACACTGCTGCCTCTCACTGCTACCCACATCCCTGCCCAGCCCTGCAGCACCCACACCTCCAGCAGAGCTGTGTTTGTAGCGCACACAGCAGAGCACCGTGGTGGGAAGGCAGGAAGCAGTCACACACCTGAACACCTCCAGATGCCCTCCAGACATCAGGGCTCAATTCTACTGTCCAAGCATGTTCCTGATGTTTATGCAGGGAAAAAACAATGCGGAAAATAAAAGCCAGCCTTGAGTTCAGGTACTGTACAACTTGCAGTACGCAGCCACATGCTGGTTCGGTGCCTGCCCTGCAATCTGCCCCGTTCTGCACTCCTAGCTAACCCTAATTAGAAGCTTACTCACTGATACCCAGACAGCACATACAGAGAGGTTAGCTCTAAGATGTGTAACACCCAGCTGAGCATTGCTAAGTTGTTTTTATTTATGTAGGGCACACGGCACTAGCATTGACATGTACAACGTGCTTGGAGCATTATAAAAACAGAAGGATTTTTGCCTGCTTAGCACGGTGCATTATGCATCTGTCCTACACCACGCCAGCTTTCCCCGCCGCTGCATTTCCACAGTGGTAGGAAATAACAGGGATAAAGGGATTAAAAAGCAATGATTTTCTGTAAAGCCTTAGAGGACATGTCTGCTATGATCTCAGCTTACTTGCCTCATCTACACCAGTAAAACACTATCGTAGTAGACAGATTTATGGATTAAATGCAGACAAGTGTGTAAAATAAATATTTTGCTCATAGCTTCCACACCCTTTAAAATATTCCCTGTGATTATAATAGCTTCTGAAGCCTCTTTCCAATGGGGTGATCTGCAGTTCAGAAGTTGAAATCAGGGAGCTCCTTCTGGCTTCAGTGCAATCGAAAGGTCATGACAGAAGCGTGGCGTTTAGCAATTCCAAATAATTGTATCCAGCTCTCAAACGTGCCATGCTTTGTCACAGCTGCCACTTAAGGGCAAACTGAATTTAAATTATATTTATCTTACTATTTATAGAGCTTTGGTTCAGGATATGCCATGAGAAATACAGTTCTCTGTTTCTTCTCCGTGTTTCTCCCTGTCCAAGGGGACTATGATTACAACAGAAACTGTGCTGACATCTGCATCCAAAGGAGAGAAACCCATTTTTTGGAGAACAAGGAAGCGAGCAGTGGAAGCGGACATCCATCACAACCACGACCCCTCAGCCACTGTTCACGTGTCATTTTTGCATGCAAGGTGAAAACAGGAGGAATCTTCCCCACAGCATCTCCAACACAAAACCTGCCTGTGAGGGAAGTCAAATCTCCACTATTCAGTTAATTTAATAAACACAAAACCACAATGCAGCCTCTTCATTTCCGTGTTTCTTTCTCCTCTTGGTTTGCAATAAAGGTCTCACACATACTCGCTATCAAGTCTTTTAACACTAGAACAAGTTGATATTTTAATTTAATTAAAAATTATTTCCATTGGAAATAGAAATATCATTGATCTGCTATAAAAGAAAGCCACTTGCCTCCCCAACATACAGACAATAACAGAATCCATTGATTAAGTGCAAAGGTTCCAAAGTTCCCATTGCATTGCATGGGCACAAGAACCAGATCTTGATTTTAGATCACTGATTCATTGATAAAAACGCAGCCTGTCATCTACAATAGCTTCAGATCCTGCCCACACTTGGGAAGGACAAAGCGACCTGCTTTACCTTCACGCCTTCTGAGCACATCAGGCACTTGGCCTTGCACAGAAGTGCCAGACAGACGTGCAACTTCTCCCCACAGAAGTGGGGAGGTGGCACTGCTCATGTCCTTCGCACGCAACCCCAGCCTGAATGCATCACAGCCCAACACAACACAACCCCAGCGTGTAACAGCCCTAATACACTGCAGCCCCAACACAGCCCCAGCTCAACACAACTCCTTCACACAGCTCCATCTGCACAGAGAAGCTGTATCCTGGCCAGCTCAGGCCTGGGAGCCTCTACACAGAGCACCAACATAGGTACCAATCACAAAATAGCTGTTTTGTGCTGAATAGAAACATTTCTCTAGGAGCTCAATAAGAAAAACAAAAAAAACGACAATTGTATATTATTATTATTATTAAACATGCCACAATACAGCAAACATGCAGTAAAGATTTTGTATCTCCACCCACTTGAAAGTTAGTATGTAAAGTTAAGGGGAGCCCTGATGGAGTATTTTTTTTTTTTTCCCCTCCACACAGAATCAGAAACAAAAAGATACAAAAATTGAGATTCGATATTAAAATGTTAATAGATGGAAACATTGAGAGAAGTATCACAGTTTTGGCCAAATACCTTCCTTTTGAGGATTTCTCTGTAATAAAGCAGGTCTTGAGATCTACAGATGCCAGTTCAATCCCTTATCAGTTTAATGAGATTCAAAGTTAATTTCACACTGAGAAGGTTCTCGACAAACAAGCTGCAGGAAAAAAAAGGTACATTAAAAGAAATACAGAATTCCTAAGTGGGCAGAACATTCTTGGTGAGCAAAAAGGGAAAAGAGAGCATGGTTTTTTCAGCTGCCAGCCTGGAAGCAGAAGCTGAGGAAGGTGTGAAGGAACATCTGATTGTGCCATTTGGTATTGTAAGCAGTTCTGAAACCAGCCCAAAAATTGCTTGTATGTTAGTGGTGCTCAGGTACTGAGCAAACCCAAGCAAGTGGCATTAACGGGAGTTACAAGAGAGGAAGGTCGTGCTTGCTCTCATGCACACACATCAGAAGCAATACAAACTCACTCGAAGGAAACAGAGACGAAGAGCAACATCAGGCCTGTGTGCACAGATAGCCTGGGTTGCGTTACCTGTGCTTTAATGCCTCAGCTGCCAGGCTGGGGCTCACACGTAGCATCCCTGCCGTCCAGCCCCTCTGAGAGCAGTCACTGCATCTCACTAGTTAGCAGTGACAGACACCTGCCTTTGTGGAGCAGGGCTACACACACTGCATATAAAATCTACATCAGCTCTTCATTTTGATTTTTCTTCTGAGTGCCACAAGAGGTTTTCCTATGCAGGTCCTTTTGTACTCACATTATTGTCCTGGTAAAGGAGAGCTGTATCTCAAACAGGCTTGAGCCTGTGTAAAATGCAGTGCTGACCTATGCAGGTCCTTGAAGAGATGAGAAGGCTCCAACCTTCCTCCCAAAGGTGGAAACAATGACTCCATACCCCGCTCATAAGGAATTTCAAATTCAGCTCCAAATTGGCCTCCTCACAATTCCTTCCTCTGTATGCACATACAGGAAAAGAAAAGAAAGAAGGAAAAGCAGTAGAGGTGTTTGTCCCTCTGACAGACAAGGGGCAGCTAAAGGCAGCCAAGCACTGAGTGCCAGGCAGATGTGCACAGCTGCTCCCAGCTCACACCTGTGTGTAAGAGCTGTGTGCCCTGGCCTGGATGCAACAGCCTCGCACCAGGAGGCCACAGCAACAGCTCCTGATGGCCTGCACTGCTGTCAGAAGCCACGAGGAAAAGCCTTCATGGCCGTTCACCCATTAGCACGTGATGGGAGTGCAGCAGAAAAGGTTTCACATTCTGCATGTTACCACTTTTACACCTAGAGTAAATAGAAATGATAGGCTTGCAGTTAAACACTCTGATTTTCTTTCAGGCACTCTGGCTTTCTAAGAAGCTTTGAGGGGGGTTCCTAGCAAAATGATAAAATGAGCTTAGAGTCCCTCCTCATGAAACATTCACACAGCAGATCATCTGGGAAAACACATCAACCAAAAGGAAAAGCTTTGCAATTAATAATACATTAGAGAAGTGAGGTGGAATCGTGTGTGAAGTGACTGACCTGCTTTAAAAACACTGCCTGGTGTCAACCCAGCTCCTCATTACAGAAGTCCCCACATAAAGATGAGCTCTGCCTGCATGCAGACAACTGGCAGTAAAAGGAAGGGTGAATCACAATAACCGGTGCTATTGAAGAGCTGGTTTATTTCTACTGAGAAAAAAAAAATAACCCAATCCCAATCAGCAGGTAAAATGCTGTGCTGGGCCAAAACAAAGACCTTAATTCTCAGGTTTTGTGTACCAGTGCCATGGAGACTGGTGCAAGAGCTGCTCACACAGAGATGGGTTTTGAGGCCTATGCACACGTGACTGCATACACACTTTTGCACCTGCAATCACTTACACCATTTGTGCCTGCAATTATTATATCTGCATGCATAATTAGGAGTGCATTATGCAAATAACCAGTTATTGATGTAATTGGTCATTGGCTTACACGGCTGTGTAGTGGCAATTTGCATGTGCAGCTCTGGTACCTTCCCGAATAAATCCAGCACACTCCTGCAATTTTGAAAATAAATACACAGCACCTACAGAACCAGGTGAAAAGAAAACCTCACAGTGTTTCAGCTCACGAACAGAAAGTGGCAGCAAAGTTGAAACCTGCTGGCACAAGATGCAAACTGCAATACCTCTTTCTCAACTTACCTCACGAATGAGCCTTCAGATATAATCATTTCTCTTCCAAAAACTCCAGCTGACTGTTGCTGTTTGTACAGACTTATTCAGTCTCACATTGCTTAGGAGCTGTGACTGTTGGACCACAGGGCAGCAGATCCCCACCTGCCCAGCACCACATTTCTTTTAGGTAACAGCCCTCCTACCAAATCTTCCCACCTGACACCACTTCTTGACAGAAAGACATATCAGAGTCTCACAGCACAGTTCGGGGTAATGGATTATGCATACACTCAGGACAGTAAGCAGCTTAATGTCTGCTTCAGAGAAGAAATGCAGTGACACACGCGACAGGTCACAGAGAGCTGCATTGTTTTGTTATTGTCCAAGGCACGCCAGCAAGAGCCTTTGGAAGGTCTGAAGAGCAGCAATTGTGGTGCAAACGTATATGGCAGCAAACATCACACACACACAGCCATGCACGAGAGATGGAGGCGATCCAGGAAAACTGCTGAAGAGTGAAACTGATGTGAAGAGAGTGGAGGAAGAAGGCTATGAAGCCAAAGGGCATGGAAGGAGAGAAGATGAGAACAAGGAGGTGGTCAAAAAGGACGCTGTGTATTCCACATGGTGGGAAACCTCATGTTTTCCTGTGCTCTTCTCAAGGCTGTGTGAGCTGGATTGTTTGGGAGGAGCACCCAGCGCTGCCTGAGCACTGCTGGCTGGAAAGCATCTGTGGGGTTTTGCCTGCAGCAGCTCATGGGAGATGACACCAGAGAGAAATGCTTCCCCTCGGTCCAAGCAGCACAGCAGCAGCTGCTCCTGGAGTTGTCACTGCTGCACAGAGTGCCAAGTGGAAGAACCACCACTTCACCTCCTTCACCACACAGAAGCATTCATTTGCAGTCTGCAGGAGCAAATGCTTTTTTAGATTCCCATCTTAGCACTATTCTCATTCCTGTTATCTTAATGTTGTGAAAACTGCCTAGAAATGCAAACATCAGATTGCAAACTTACTGTGGTTGCTGTATTTCACATCTTTGTTGTTTGCCTTATAGGTTTGAGGTTCATCACATTTATGCCCTTCAAGCTTTTCTATGCAATCAGAAGCAATCAAACTTTTTTATAAAAAAAGCAAAGCCAGCATTTTTTTAGTACAGTCTCATGTTGATATGCTTGAATTTTAAGAAACCTACAAGCTGCCAATCATTATCCCTATAAACCTATGCATTTTTGCAGGTGACACTGGTCCCAGCAGGGAGCCACACCAAGACAGGGCTGCTGCAGCCATTCCTGCTTGCTTGGCAGCTCCAACGTGCAAGCTGTGGTGTAAAAGTTTATTTGTGAGTGCTTCACAAGTTCCTCATGGATCTTGGCAGAAAGTGGAGCCTGTTGGGTGTGTAATTTCAAACAGCAGAAGCCTGGAACACAGACAGCATCGCCTGCAATGACAGACAAGTGCTGAGCTGCTTAGGAAAATCAAATATGGAAAACATTTGTCCTCTGCTACAAACCTGCAGCTCTCCTCTAGCGTTGTGAACACAGAGCAGATCATGAGCACTCTGAATGCCCAGACAAACCTCACTGTCAGTGGCACTGCCAACATGTGTGGAACATTCATACACATTAGGAGACCGGGAGGAACAGGGCAGCAGCACTGAGGCCATGAGGATTCAAAAGAGAATTCTGTAAAAAGGTGCGTGAGGATGGCAAGCAGCTAACGCTGTGTGACAGGATGGAACAACTGCATGGAGAGAGGGAAAATAAATTCCCTGCCCTGAAACAGAAAAGAACCGAAGCCATCCACAACACAGGGGAAGCATCAGCTGTGACATTACCTCTACATCAGTAATAAGTGAGAGATGGAAAAGCAGCATCCGGACTGATGGGAGCACAGCCGCCGTGGAAGGCAGCATAGCTCTTTGGATGGCATTTATGAGTTCCTTCTGAAAATTCAATTTCCTTGAATATGAAAAACTTCACTTCTAATGTTATCCGAATGACCTTTTGGACTTTAAGAAAAAAAAAAAAAATCACTGCCTCAAGACGAAAATCCAGCCATTAACCAAAGACAATACTTGCTACACATTTAACTTCCTGTTACCTCATTGTAAGCCTTTCTCACCATAAATCACAAGGCCCACTTTGGGGTCATTTCCTGGAAAGGCATCACATCCCAGCAGCACCCCAGGAGAGGCACTGAGGGCAGCACGCCACGAACACCACTATAGGACTGCACAGCCCTCACATGAGGATGGAGGGGAAAAAAATCATCCCACCTAATGGCCGCCTACTTGCTTAGTTGGGGTTTTTGTCAATAAAAGCATTAAGGCTGCTGAGGTGTGCAGAATTCCCATTATCTTATGTTAATAAAGCGCATGAGAAAGGAGGCAATACAGCACCCCTTCACAGCCTTCACATTGGCTGGTTAAATAAACAATAAAAAGAAATAGGAAATAATGATTTAAGGGTACGAAGAACAGCTGACATGTACAATGCTGCTATGGTGCCAGCCAGCCCCTGGCACTGAGCTCCAGGAACTCAGAGAATTGTTCTCTTCTGTCCTGTCACTGCCAAGGGAAAAATGCAAGTCAGTAGTTCCAAACTGGGATAACAAAAAAAAGAGACAAAACAGAAATTGGGAGTGAGTGGGATCTGACCATCCCCAGTTTCCAATGGAAATGGACAGTTAGATCCTCAACTTTCAGGCTCGGGTTGCTCTTTGGCTTGACGTGGCATCCTATTTTCTCCTTGCCGATACACCAGACTCTTATTTAAGCAGCCATCGGTACACAGCGTGGTTTCAGTGAGCAGCACCACTTTACTCACCAGCAGGACGATCTCCTCCATCTCCAACCACCTCAATTGGAAACGGACTCGGGTGCAGCTGCAGCACCTGCAAGCAACTGCTCCGCAGGTGAAAGATCCCTTCCCTTTAGAGGGCAGAAATCAAACGCAGCCTTTACCGGCACCGCGTTACCGCACAGCACGCACCACTCGGGCTCTACGCCTTTGTCCTTCGTATCGCTCGCGCTGAAGTTCATAAAGCACCTGAAAGCAGGACTCGCACGGCAGGTGGGAGCCAGCCGGCAGCACGCACCGCTCGAGGGCACAGCGCTGCGGAACGGCAGGAGCCCTTCCCCCGCAACGTGCCGGCAGCCTTCCGAGCACCGGGACGAGGAACCTGCGCCTCGCACCCTCCCGCCAGCAGCTGTTGACTCTGAAGCCTAATGACGAGTTAATGAGCAGCACGTGGACCCGCGCCCCGTCTGCACCCAGGGCCGGGGGGAGGAGCAGCTCCTGGGCACCGCGCTGTGCCTCCGGGCCGCGCCGAGCAGAGCCCGGCTCTGCCCTCTGCACCTCCCGCGGGTGGCTGTGGGCGTGGATGGGATCCCTCTCCTTACAGATGAGCCGCTCGATTGCAGCATCTTAGGGATGCGAGATATGTACAAGGAGAAGGACTACAGGTGCGCGCAAGGACGTCCTAAAGCTTTCCGCGCTCCCTGCGCCCGCAGCAGCCGCGCGCCGCGGGGCGGGGCTACGTGGGGAAGAGCGAGGCGAGTGGGCGTGGCCTCTTCTCGCCCCGCCCCGCGCAGATGGTGCCGCCGCGGCGGGGCAGCCAATCAGAGCGCAGCCCGTCAGCTGACCGCCAGCGCCTACCCAGGTGCGCGCCGGCGGCGGCACAGAGCGAGCGGGCGGGCGGCAGGCGGGTGGCAGCGCGGCGCTGCGCTCCTCCCTTCGGTCCCTCCGCCTTCTCTCCGCCGCGGATGTCGGCGCCGCCGCTGCGTGGGGGAGAGGAGCGGCCGCGCGGACAGCGCCCCCCCGGGCGCCGGTAAGTGCAGCTGGGAGGGGCGGGGGCCCGGCGGGGATCGCGGCGGGGATGCCCGGCGATGATGCCCGGCGGGTTGGGGGAAAGTTTGCTGCCCGCAATTGGACGCAGCGGCCCTATTGTAGCATACGGCCGTCATTGTTTTCCTATCTGGGATGCGCGCCCCAGGCTGAAGTTTGCGGCGCGCGTCCGCGCCCCCTCTGATTTGCATGCGAATGGCAGCGCGTCCCGGCAGCTGTCTGGCCTCATCCATTCACGCGGAGCGATGGGAGCGGGCGAGGAGCCCTCGGTGGAACAATGGAGCGCGGGATAAAGGCGCGGTGTGCGCGGGGCCACCTCCGATCCGAGGCCGGGTTCCTCCGGCGTCGTGCGCTCCCCGCCGTGCCGTTAGGTGCCGGTTTGGGGGGGTTCCGCCCCTTTTATCGGCCCTCCGGAGCACGCCGTTCGCGGGGCTGAAAATCGCGCGCAGCGGCGCCGCGCTGCCGCAGGGCTGCGGGTCGGGCGCGGTGTTGCGGGGAGAGCGCGGCGGGTGTCCCCGGGCTGCTGCCGGTGCCGTTTTGGGGAGCGCTTCCCGCTGGGTAACGGGGGAAAGCTCTGGAATCCGCCCCAAATAGCGCGGGGGCCGCTGTGGGTTTGTCCCGAAGGAGCTCCGTGGTTCCCGTTAGAATCTCTCGAACGAAATTGCTCTGTGAAGCCCTCGGTCCTTCCCTCGCAGACTTAAAGCTGCCCTGTAAACAAAGCCGCATCTCCGAACGAGGCAATAAACTTTTCACTGGGAGGGATTGAGGTGCGCACCGGGTGATCTGGCAGATGCTTCAAATGTCCGAAGCTGAACGTCGGCACCCGTAGGTGTCTGAACGGCTGGGCTGAAGTGTGCAGTTATCGGAGTGAAACTTAACGTAGTCCTTATAGAGACACCCAGTGCAGTAGGCAGTTAGGACTTCAAAAGGTCAGCTGGTGGGATGCTATAAAGTATCTTCCATTTAGTTAGAACAGACCTGGAGAATGTTGCTGACTGTTGAAAGTAGTAGGGTTTTGTATCAAGTTGTGTAGATGACAAAAGGATAAGGGCATTGTAACGTCAACTGTGAAAAACCATTGTTGCTTCTTTTGTTTGTTTTTAATTAACGTGAATAAATCCATGCTGAGAGCATCCCAACAGGCTGCAACGAGAAACTTCTGCTCCCGTTGGTTTAACAGGGCTGGAACCTAGCTGAAAGCGAGGACGCTTTGCTTTAAAAACGCACATAGATGTGTATCAGTCCAGATCACGTAGAAAATGCAGTCCTTTAAATGAGCACTCATGAAGGCTCACACCATCACCGTGCTGTGCATGGAGCAGTGCTGGCTGCCTGCAGTGGCAGCCCCGATGCAGCAGCCTTTGTTCGAGGTGCTACAGCAGCGTGGCACTGCAGCAGCCAGGGAAACTTTTGCTGAGCAGTGCGTGCTGTTCTGCTGCTGCTGGCAGCCCCCAGCTGCTGCTCAGGGATTCGAGGGGCACTCAGACTGCCTTGCATCACAGCCCTGCCGGTACTGCAGCTCAGTAGTTGCTAAAAAGGCTGTTGATTTGTATTGTTGAGTTTGCTAGGTTGTCTTTCTTATTGTTGATTGTGGTGGTGGGGATGATATAACGGCAGAGTTCATATTTTACAACTTGGAAAAAAAAGACAAATAGTATTTGTTCTGAAGCTTTTACTTCTGTTAGTGTTATCAATGAATAAAACCAAGAGAAGTTGTTGTTGTTGTTGTCTCACTTTGGCAGCCAGGTTTGAGTTCTGAGCTAATTTCTGCCTGCTTGGGAACTGCTGCTTTCCCAGGTGGGCTTTGGGCCGGGCCAGACTAAGGGCAAGCAGCAAAGAAAGACCACACCAAGGGAAAAAGTGAAGTGAGATTTACAGAAGGGCACTGCCTGCTCACAACACTTTTAAATCAGCAAGTAGGAGATGGTGAAGATGTTTACTAAAGAGCCAAATGCTTTGAGAAACAAAATCACTCCCTTTTACTGTGGACTTTATCTCTGCAGAGATGGCCCTTCTTTAAAGCCCTGATTAATATAAATGAGTTGTAATTTTCTGGCCAAGCCATCCTAGTTCACATATATTATTCCATTGGCAGACATGTGGTCTCCACAGCTGTCCCCTCATTTGTGTATGAAATGGAAACACTGGTGGCATTTGTAGGTTACCATAGCTACATGAACAATACACGTGTGATACTTCATCCTCCCAAGCTCAAGATTTTTTTTTTTTTTTTCTGGCAGACATTTTGTAGACACAGAACTGCAGAAAATCTATGCAAACTTTTGGGCAGCACGTAAATCCATTGAGCTGCTGTCTGTTTATACAATGGTAATTTGCAGTGAGCCCACAGCTCAGCCCAAAGCCACGCTCACTCTTCATGTGGTGGGAAGCACCATTCTGCAGGATGCACAGAGCTCCCACAACAAATCCTAAATCCTGAGCTCCAGTTAAGTAATTAGCAGGATCAGGCCTTAAATGCTGTGCTAAACACTAAATACTTTTTTTTTTCTTTTCCTAAAACAACCCAGAACCTCATTTCTGAGTGCAGAGCCTTACCTTCTCCCAGCTGTGCTGGAGGTGGTGATGCCAGCATGGGGCACAGGGAGCCAGGCTGGGTGCCACCACCAGGTGCACCTGCACAGATCCACAGGAGTTCACTTCAGGAACAAAGTGCTCTCGTACTCATCTTCAGCTCTACCCTTAACGTGTGCCTTGCTATGAGAAGATAGGCTCACGTTTTTGATTCTTACGTGGCTTAGAGCTGCTTTTGTCAGTGCGTGGTAATCCTGCTTCCCTAAACCGGAGTGCCTGAATTCTGAAAAGAGAAATCAGAGAAAAAGAGCTACTTTGCTAAGAAACAGCCTACTGAGCACGCATGCGACGAGTCTGCTTTTCTAGACTCTTTTCCTGCAGCTGATTAATTAATCCTCCACTAATTGGCTTCGTGAGGCCAGTAACAGGGCATGCCTTCATGCCATTCTGAGAGGTACCTGGACTAAGGTACTTCAAGTTACGTCTCTCGTTGCTTCCTGAAGCCTTGCAACTTTATTTGAATTTTGTTTTGCAATTTAGATGTCATCTTTCATTTTTATGTGTGGCACTGAAGGAAAATACTGGATTGGCCTATTTTGAGTTGGCCTAATTCTCTTCCTCATGAAGAAAGCAGAAGTCTTTGGCATCGATGGGAAGAGAATTAGTGTCTGCTCTTAAACTCCACTGTAAAACACTGAATGCTTTCATAACTTCACCTTCTAATTTGTAAGATTTTAATTTGATTGGTGGTACAAGCCAGCATCTTCTTGACCTTCCAGCTGAGTGAACTGCCAAAAGAATGGGAACAGATTTTTTACTTGGAGCACAATTTCTAAATATCAAGTATACAAAAGGGAGCAGATACCTGTTTGCTGTTTTTTATAAATATATATACTTAAAGAAAGATTAGGGAAAAGCAGTTGTAAATAAGTCCTGAAATACTTAACAGGATGCTGTATTGAGAATGCACAGATGTTATAAAAGTGCCATAGAGAAATAGCTCTCTCTCTTACTTTATTTGGTATGATGCTCTTGCTGCATAACTCTCTCCCCCGAAGTGCTGACCTCTGGTCCTTGGTGGTAACGCAGGGCGGTATTTTCCTTGGCTGCTTCACAAACTGAAGTGGTCTGTTTAACACTGTAGGCAAGATAGATGGCTTACAGGTTTTGTTTAGGAATTCTAGAGATTGTCAGCATCTCATTTCCAGGTATTTAATTTAAGCAGCAGCCGTGAACGTAGCATCCATGCATCAGTCAGCTTTGATTAGAGCAGGTTGACCTTTTTGAGGCTGAGCTTTTTGAAGCTGAGCCTCCCCCAGGAGGTCTGTGCCTGTTGTGCCCATTTGGCCTTGTGCAGGTATGGAGTCTTACCTTCCAGAAACACCTGTCTTTTCCATTCAGTGCCAAGGTCTTTGTTCACTACCTCCCAAACCTGGAGGAGCTCCCCTGCTGATGATGCGGTTAAGGCAGACCTCCATCTCAGTAGGCTGCAGCTTTGTCTCATGGTGGGGTATTTCAGCAGAGGTTATCCCGCCAGAGTCAAGTTTTAAAGATGACACTGGGAAATGGGGAAAGGCATGGGGATGCTCCAGTTCAAGGGAAATGGTTCTTTGCCTTTTCCTCTTATTATTGGAACCTGGTACATCGTATTCTCATCAGTGATTCTTTGTGTATTTCATTCACAACTAGTTCTGTGCAGTCAACATAACTTGATGGTCATTAAGAAAAATGCAGTCTTTGCAGTTCACTTACAATTGGATTCATATTAAGCTCTGTGTGACTCATGACCAGAGCAGCACAACTAGAGGGGCACAGCACACTTGTGCTTTCAGCACATCCGCTGTGATGGCAGCCAGGGTTCCCTGTCTGCCTGTGGACCGTGTGCTCTAGGGCTCTGTGATTTTCATGGGTTGGCCCACAACATCAAGAATCAAAGATTAAGTAACTACTAATAAACACAGAAATGTTATTTGGGACAATTCTTAAGTTAGTCCAAAATTTGGTAGACTGGCTTTTATATATGCATACGCATGCACACACACACATATATGTAAAATATCAATCAAAGCTTGAATTACCTTTTTTTGTGATTTGGGAATGTTTGTCATTGTTACAATTAATCCTCCATATTCTGTGTTGTTTTTTTTTTTTTTTTTCCATACATCATTTCATTTATTTGATTAAGCGAGTCCAAAAATACCTAGTAAATGCATACCTTGCTAATGTGCTGCATATAATTACTGGGATGCAGATGAGCTACTGATTGGCCTTGCTCAATTTTAAAATTACAAACGATCTGTCACTCTTAACAGAAACAGTAAATATTGACAGAGATCCACTGCTCACAATAGACACTGCACTGAATGGTAGCTGTGTTACAAAGCTAACTTATTTGACCCATAGGTGAACAAGAGCTAAGCTGGAAGAGCAGGTCTCACAGCAGCACGAGGC